CATACAGACCGGTTCCCGGCTGAGCGAGGCGTGGGAGCAACGCCGAGGGTTGCAATCCCGTTGCCGGTCCTGGTCCGGTACGGGCGCGACACTGAGGGTTGCGATCCGATGCCGGACACGGAAAAAGACAAAAAAAAAAAAAGAAAGTTGCTTTTTGAAGGAAATAGAGGATTTTTTCCCTGTATTTGAAGATGTGGTTTAATGATGTACAGATGGAAAGGAAGGAGAGAATGCATAGGGGCAAAAATTTGGAAAGGGAAGTAATTAGTGAATGGATGGATATAGAAAGAGAAAATACATATTGTTTTGTAAATACTGTCTCTACCTTGTAATATTGGCAGCATTTTAATTTATATGTCAGCAAAATGTTCCATAGGTCCACTTGTTGAATTTGAGTGTCGGCCTTGCTTAATCAGTCGCTTTGGCTGCACAGTCTTTTTAGCAGAGATACAATGGGAACTGTAGGTTATCAACTATCTTAACTCCTGATTAGAGTGGAATTTGAAGAATAATAAATGGTCTACAGCAGGAGTGGGTGGCCTGCAGGCCAAACCTGGCCGAAGGCTGCATTTTTTATTGGAACACAGCCATGCATATTCATCTAAGTAATACCTATGGCTGCTTTTGCCCTAGAACTGCAGACTTGAGTAGTTTTGACTTTGCATGACCTGAAACGCCCAAAATATTTATGTATTTGGCCCTTTAAAGTTTGCTGACCCCTGGTCTATGGCCTTGTTATTCAAGGACCAAGCAGGGTAAGGCATCTCATAGAAGCTTCCTATAGACATGCAGAGTCATGGGCTCACTCCAGACTTTCAAATTAGATATCTGCCTTTTAAACAATTTACCAGGTTATTCATATGCACATTAAAGTTTGAGAGGAATCCAAGGACAGTATGAGGAATATATGTAGTTAGACGGTGACTGCTTACTTTTTGGGTTTTTTTAGATATGAGCATAGCAAGCCACTGAAACAGGAAGAAGCGACTACTACAGATCTAACTGCAA